CATCGTCTCTTCCTTAGCATAATAACAACCTATAGGACTTCGAGGTAGCTCGCCTAGTGCGACGTAAATCCTCACCCTCTTTTAGGCCCCTGCACAACCAGGTTGTGCAGCATAAGTCCTAACTCGCTTTAGGTTCCGAGGTTGTTGTGTGGTACGACGTAAACCCTCCTTTCTCTGTGGGTGATTTGCATAATCGGATATTATGCAAATGTAAGTCCCAAATAATGAAATTGGCAGGATTGAACATTTAAATAACATCATCTCTAAAAATGCAGCCACACATTAGGATAGTTTGGGAAGTCACTGAGGGTTCTCCTCAGGATCTGTGACATCCCCTACCTTTTCTTTCCTTTGGACTCCTGAAATAACTGTTCACATTTGAGCCACTCCCATTTGCCCTTCTACGTCCTACCTTGAAAACCTGAACCTTGAATTCTTGAAGACTAGAACCATTGATCATTATCGAGAGTTTTCTCAAGTGACTCCCGTCATTTGGGATGTAATTAACTATAGGGGCTTGCCTCTATAGGGAACTTGGAACCCAGGTAAAATAAACCCTATTTAATCTTTGTATTAAATAGGGGAATTTGTCGGTCATATATAAAAGGTTCGCAGACCAAACGGATGTCACAAATCTCTTAGTTTGCAGGATTGGGTCTATCGCTGATGTCTACACTTATCTCTCGGGAAGGTGTAGTATTCGCGGTATCAGGCACGATTATGCAAACTATCAGACTAATGGGATCCACTTGGTCTCATTTTTTTTAAAAAAAACTAAAACATACTACTTTTAAAACTCAAACTATATATATCTCTTATATGTAAATTAAATTTCAAAAATTATTTTCATATTTTCATATTTTCAAAATCTAAATCTATTAATCAAAAAGTTGACCGACAGTTATAATGATATATTTATAGTGGCTTTTAATGCATGCTGCTTGCTCTGTCCAAGATGCGAAAAAAATGTTTTTATCGAAAATCAGCGCAGGACTTTCCCAAAGAAAAGAAAAGAAAATAACGCAGGGACAAATTAATAAATCACGGGTGGAATTTCTGAACGCCGGAGACTCTCCACGGTGGCGCCATAGGTAAATTGCAAGCCGCCGTGTGTCATGATTTTCAACTGCAATCGGCGAAAGTGCAAAACAAACGCGCATTTCATGAAATCCGGTTAAAAAATCCAACCGAGTTAATAACACAAACAAATTGAATAACAAAAATATTTAGATGAAAAAACAAATATGTAAATTACTTTGAAGATATTGGTTTCACTCTTGTACATAAAAAACCATCTCCCAGAATTGTCGTCAAGACGTGCACTAGTCTAAAAAAGTTTACATCCGAGCAGCACTCATAGGTTTACAAGGAAAATAGAAATTTTTATTCTATAAATAATCCCAAAAGATCCAAATGTAGTGGTTTCTCAGAATCTCCCAAGATGTGGTCAAATGCTTCAAAACCTGATTCTGCTACTAAGCGAATAAATTTCCTAGTTCAGCTATAGTGCCAATCTCATTATCCTTTAAATTAGGTAACAGTATTATACCAGAGACCTGTATAATGTGAGAGAAAAGGCGGCAAAGCAAAATAGTGAGGCTTATTATTGAAGAGAACACATAAGAACTCATGATTGACGCATCTACTATGTCAAGTTATTCGTTGAGTAATTCAAACAAATTGCATGAATAGAACAATCCAACATGAAAAAATGCGAGAATAATTATTCTCATGGGCGCCACTGTAATAGTCGTGTCGTGTTGCATGGTTTTATATGACCTTATCCTTTTAATTTTTAATTTTTGAAACATTTTTATGTGAATCCTGAAGGATTTAAGCATATTATTACATTATTATGTTGTTTGAATTTCGCGCTGCTTATAATTGTCATCAGTGATTCCATAGTTGTCATAATAAAAAAGTGTTGTCTTATGAATAGATTTTTGCAGATCAGGCATTTCATGCAAATGTATGAAGCGAGCTATGAAAAAGTTGAAATGGTACATACAGCTTAATGTATCGTAGTAACATCCTAGAGGATGACATAATAAATAAAAAATGTAAGCAAAAAAACCACATTAATTTGATGTGCTTTATTTACGAACAATTTCTTTGGCATGATCAGTTGTGATGAATTATCCCCTGAATTACAGCACCAATAAATTTTTGGTCAAATTGATGTAATTTCACCCTCTCCATAACTTTAATATTAATTTCATGTATTTGCAAATCAAGAAAGCAAGAATTAAAATCAAAATCAATTTCATTTTGATTTGTAGAAATAAATTTATAAGATGTTACTCCTGAGACCGGCACAATGCAAAGGTGGGGGGTAGAAGTGCAAAACAAATGCATTTCAACCTAGAGCATTTTTCCTCTTCTAACCTCTATTTTTTGGCAGCCCTGAGTTCAGAAGCCTAACTGAGCTATCACTGAACCAGTTGGTTAATGTGTTGGTAGAGGAGATCGAAGTTCAGCTTAAACTCGGCGGTTCGCCTTCCGGAACTATCCCATTAGCGACTCTCCTCCCCCGAGTGGCGCAAATAGCCCCACAACTGCTAGAAGGACCGAGCGGCAACAAGTTCATTCAGATCATTCAGAGTTTACCAGAAGTTGAACTTTTTTACACACTTTTGTATTCAAATATGCCCCCAATCTCTTAAAAATTGTTCAATAGTGCTGAATTCTGATATTAATTTTATGTAAATTAGTCTTCTGATGGATGTTTGGAGGACTGGTTTATTAGAGTTTTTTTAGTTTATTCTCAGCTGTCCTGAAAATTCAGGAGAATGATGATTGTTTAAAAATGTCTGTATCTTATTTTTGTATGGTGCTACAGTTTTTAATTGTACCATTTTCTTGAGCTGGGGGAGAGACGTAGTGTATTATCTTCAGATGATTCTATGTATCATTTTATATTGACTTTGATATTTGTAAATTCTCAGAATGAAATCATATATTCGTGCAGTTGTTTTGCTTGATAACCATTTCAGAAAATATTTGATGATCAGTAATGAAGCAAGCTATTTTATGATGTGGGGAAAGATTTAATGGAATGATTGAGCTCCACATGGACTAAGCTTTTTTTTTTATTTTATTTATTTTTTTAAGAGAAAAAATGTTTTTTTTTGTCTATTTGGTAGCTGTTTGGGGAGAACTTTCTAATTTTTCATATTTAAATATTGTATTATTTGCTGAGTTATTGTTGTTGTTGCTATCGTTGCCTAGCCATTGGCCAGTACATTATGGCCACCAGTTGCAGCATGTCGTCACCTCAAGCCACTGTCATTGCTGCCACCTGCAGCCAGTTGGCATCTGTCATCACCTTCGATTGCCAGCAGCCTTTGCCGGTTACTCGTCATCACCCCTGACATCAATGTATTTATTTTACATTAAATTCTTTTTTTTTTCCAAATCAAATTAGATAATATAAAATATTGCATTTATTTTATAGTAAAAATATAAGGAGTTTAAGTGTTAACTATGTAAATACATAGAAATTGGAGTGTGTGTGTGTAAATTCTCCTTTTTTTATATATTTTGGTATTTGGTTGGATATATTGCAGAATATAAGAGGAAACAAAATTATTATTTTGTAAAGCATATTTTCCAAGAATATATATAATCAAATGAGAGTAATTTGCTAGGAATGAAATATATGTTCAAATTAATCTCAAGTGAAAATGCTTGGGTTTTGTTATGTTCAATTCTTTTAGACTTGATGTATAAATGAATTATGATAGAATGGTAAAATTTTGGAATGGTCGAAAATTAAAAAGAAAATATCATTTAAAAAAATATCATTGTTGTGCTTGACGACGATAAAGATGTATTAATGTCTCAGCATAGTACAAAAATCTAACACACATCAGATAAAATTAAAGTTGATAGAGGAGATACCAGAGATTCTTATGTGGAAAACCAAAATTGAATAAAATCATGGGACCTAGCCTGTTTGAAATGATTTCACCATTTAAAAGTATGTTATGTGAATTTGCGAGCTCTCCATGATATAGATATATCAATGTCTTAGTTTTGTACAAAAATGCTACGTACGAACAAATAAAATTAAAGCTGATAGAGAGGATACCAGAGATATTTATGTTGAAAATCGAATATGGAAAAAAAATTATGAGGCCTAGCATGGTTGAAATGGTTCTACTATTTAGATGTATATTATAAGAATTTGCCAGGCTTTGAACAACATAAAATAATATTACAAGAATGAGAGAGAATATTGGGGAAATGATAGCTAACCGACTGCAATGATGGAAGACCAACAATAAGGGTTGTGTGGGCGATCTAGATTCATTGTCACCTATGGTGATGGTCGTTAGGCAATAGTTGTTCAACCACATTAGTAGGGATAGCCATGTGGCGATGATATGATGATGATTTGACAACAGATAACTAATAGTGTCCATGATGTCAACTGGCAACAGTGATCTGACGAAAACTATGTTAGTGGCCACGTAATAATCGTGATGGCAACGATGTCAGCCACATGACATTAGCCATGTAATCATGTTCTGGTGACTAATAGGAGAAGGTCATCTCATGATAGTAGGCGCTGGGAGATAGCCACCCGACAAAGATATTAGTGACAACTGTAGCATCAGTGAGGCAATAGTGGTCCAGTGACAATGATTGTGGCCTAACGACATTGGCCAAGAGACTATCTTGCGACAACAAGGGATGTGAGATGGTGATTCGACAATGACGACAGTGGCATCATTGGTGCTTTTTGCTAGACGACAACAATCTGATGATTGTTGTGTAGGTTAGACACTGTTTGTCGGGTGACACTAATTGGATGGTGGCAACAACCAACAACAATGAAGGCTATAGAGCAATTGGTTGTATGATGATGGTTATAAACCAATGGTGTATCATGATAGCAACAGTGATTTAGTGATTACATTGGTGTTTTCAAGCAAGGTGGTGTTGATTAGGCAACAGTGGTTTGGCATGGTAGCGGCGACAGAGTTCACAATGAAATGATGATCTGCCATAATAGTGAAGACGATCGTGCGACGGTTATCCTACATAGTGATGGTCAAAAGATGATCTAATAATGGCATCAATGTACCATAATAACGGCGACTACCAGGTATCGATGATCCAACATAGTAACAGTTAGGAGATGATGATCTAACAGTGATGGTGGCTTGATGTTGGCGATGGCGACATTGCGATAGTAGTTTAATGATTATAATGATGGTTCAATATCGGTCTTGTGATAACAGTCTTATGGTGGTGGCTAGGGCTGTAAACGAGCCGAGCCTGAATGAGCTCAGGGTCGGCTCGTGTTCAGCTCATTCGATATTGGCTCATGTTCAAAATCGGCTCATGTTCGAAATGACTCGTGAACAGTTTGTTCGTGTTCGGCTCGAATAATATTTTCATGTTCATGTTCGGCTCGAATAATATTTTCATGTTCATGTTCGGCTCGAATAATATTTTCATGTTCATGTTCGGCTCGAATAATATTTTCATGTTCATGTTCGGCTCGAATAATATTTTCATGTTCATGTTCGACTCGAAATTGGCTCGTTAGAATATAAAATTTTTAAAATAATATTTAATTTTTTAATATAAAATTAAAATTTTTTGTAAATTTTTTTCAAGAGCAAATTTGAGATAAAACCCAAGATATTTATTAACTAAAAAAAAGTTAAATTGAAGACAAAATTTTCTGCAAATTGAAGGTAAAATTTAAGACAAAATAAAAACCCTAAAAATTGATATTATTTTACAAATTGAAGACAATTTATGACAAAGAGCAAATTGAAGATAAAATTTCCACTAAAAAAATTAATATTATTTACAAATTAAAAAAATAAGAACCCTAAAAATAAATTATGCACTTATTCGTCATTTTTACAAATTACAAGAATCAAGCATCAAACTCTTGTTCCCCAATATGAGCTCTTTGTTTCCAATCATGGCTTTGACTCTATGGGACCATGACCGATAACAGAGATGTGGTTTTGCGCTTCAGGCCAAGCATTATTTTTTTCTTCTCTGAACTTCTTGGCATACTCCAAAAGGCCATAATAGCATTGGCCAAGCTCGCTATTTCCCTGTTTAGAATGTAATAACTTGACAAACAGACTCTGCAGGGCCACCAATAATAACATTATTTTCAGCCTTAAGAAATACAGCATAAATATATGTGTGTTTGTATTACCTTGGCTATCTAAAGCTGGAGCTTTTAGCCTATCTAAAGCTCTTCAATACAGCCCCTGCCATTTGACATTTTTTAAGAAAACAAATTATGAGGAATAAAAATTCATCATTCAGACTTCTGAAGTAATATAAAAATCTCCACCAGTGCGTTAGATTAATAAAAATAAAGTTAACAGTTTGATTCCTATGAAAAACTTATTGAAAAAATCACCATTTATGTGTATTTTCTCTATACTTTCATAAGCAAAATCATGAAAAGATTGATTATGTTATTTCATGTAGCAAACCAAGCAAAGCAAAAGCATAATATCAAGGATGTTTAAAAATACTGAATAAAATATAGAGATTCAACCCAACCTCCTCTATCAATATAGCGCTTGAAGCCTTAAATCTGGCTTTTTGCTTGTGCATCAGAGCTACACAAGTCAAAATAACCCCAACCTTACCTGCGGACCATATTAAAAATTTCATCTGAGCATGCAGATGATATCGGCTAGCTTATATCCTCAAAGCAAAACAAGCTTATGAAGAAAAAATACAAGGGGCATTTACATGCATACCGCACAATTCTTATGTAGTTACATGTCTAACACCTAAACATTGATATTTACATGCATATCACTCGAATCTTTACCATCGCATCAAAAATATCATAATCACTATCTTTTAAAAAATGAAATACATATTTTTATACATAGATTTATGTTGCAAGTGTAAATATCAAACTTTAGGTGTTAGATATGTAAATAGATAGAAATTGTATAGTATGAATGTGAATTTCTCAAAAAAAGCTCTAAAGCAAATACCAAAATGACTTTCACCCATGGTAAGTGCCTTTGTCAGCAGCTCCTCTGCCTCGCTAAACTTCCTGAATTAAAAATTATGCTGTCAGAGCATGAACATGAAGACATAAATCCAGATTCAAACACGGCGACCAAAAGGGAAGAAAAAGGATCAAAGCACAAAAATGCAAAAGAATTTTATACGATGGTTTGATTACAAGGAAAATAAAACTCTAATTTCTGAAATACAATGTGACAATAATAAATCCCTAAGAAGAAAGAAGAGCTTACCCCAAATGGGACAGATGCTGACCTAGTGCACAAGTAGCTCCCAAAAGAACTTGCTCAGAAACCATGTTTAAAGATGACATAAAAGAATTATATGAAATAGCTTGTCTCTCAGCTTGTTTTCCAAAGGTAGACAAGCTGAGAGGCTTCCTGGAACTTTAGGATAAAATGAAAAATAGTTAAGACATTTTGCAATTGATAAAATGAAATTGATTCATATACCTGGAACATTAGAATTTCAGCTAAAGATTTCCTCTTTAAATGAGGGCCAACAAATAACTGAGGTTGCAAAATTGTGTTGCAAAGTTGTTTTGCTTTCCAAAATTAAGAGTAAAAATAATCATCTTAACGCTTAGGCATCATTTTATATTCTTATCTTAAAATGGTTGCAAACTTGTGTTGTCTTCCAAAATTAAGAGTAAGAATAATCATTTAAGGCATCATTTCATTTTCTTATCCTAAAATGATTGCAAACTTGTGTTGTCTTCCAAAATTAAAAGTAAGAATAATCATCTAAGGCATCATTCCAAATACGGAAAAACAAGCTTAAACCACAATATAAAGCAAATGGGGCACCGAAAAGAACCACTTTAAACCCCTCAATAGAGTACACCACAATGAGAGAAGAGCTTCATAAAGTAGAAAAACAGAAATGAAAACCAAAATCTGAAGTCCAATA